TTTTCATTAGACCATTTCTTCTAATATATATGGAATTATCAATTAAATTACGAATCCCCATTAATGAAATTTAAATAAAAACAAACCTTAAATGCCGTGTTAATAAGTGTTAATTTTAGTAAAACTTACTCTTAGAGAGTATACAAAATAATGTCTAATGATTTAAAAATAAAGAAGCCGCAACAAACATCTAACTGACAGTTGTTGTTGGGTCCCACTATCTATAAAATATTTTGGAAGGTATACCTAATATTATCAAAGAGAAAGAATGTTTCGCAAATGGGATTTTGATAGGAATCAGTTTGTGAATATTTGTACACTTAAATATGAAATCTATATATATTGTTATGGTTCTTTGACTTAAAAATAATAAAACAAAAAATTTAGGAATATTTAAAAAATGTTTGGCACAAAAACTTAAATGTTTCTAAAATAGTTAACATCAATGTCCTTAATATTTGTAACTTCACTTACATTCCTGATCTCATTTCATTTTATAAATGTTCTAACGCTTAACGAAGTTTTATTAGGGTTATGGAACGTTTTTGTATGTGATTAATTTACTTTAACTTATTTACTTTTACGCATTATTTAGAAACCTTTGAGAAAGAGGACCATTTGTTTTAGTTACGGAAACATTTCCCGACAAATTCTTAAAATTCCTCCCATATTTCAGCTTACAGGATACAAGTCAGTCGCTTTTCCCAGAAAACCTGTAGCCTGGCAACCATTTTTTCTGCTCTACGCTTGGCTTGTTATCATTTTTTAATAACATTGTTGCGCACAGCGGTAAAATTTGCATAAAACACACAGCGGGCGACTGGCGACGGGACACAGAAAACGCTGGAGAGCGGCCGAGGGAATTGGGAATCGGATGGGGGGACTGGGAAATGGGAAATGGGAATCGGGACATCGGGACATTGGACAACATGTGGTATGAGTAATTTCTGGCTTAAGCACAAGACAACGTGCTTTATGATTGCGAGAGTGTGTGAGTGTGCGTGAATGACGCGATGGAATAAAACAATTTTCATACAAATTCCGTGCATTTGCATAAATTTCATGCACTCCGGACGTGGCGATGTCGTCATTTTCATTTTCATCTACTTAGCAAAGTGTGGTGCAATTCGGTGTAGTGGGGGGCGGAAGACAGGTGGGCGTGGCATGGCTGATGAAGGCATCGGAGCATGACACTTAAACTGACGAGGATAGGGTATCTGGGGCCCATTTCCAGGACATCCTCCCGTTTCACACGCCTGTAAAAGTTTGCGGCACAACTTTTTTGTCGCTTTGGCAATAATCATAAAATTTCACTGCATATGAAACAAAAAACCATAAAAGCGGTGGGGCAAAAAAGGAGCAGAAGAAACGTGATTGCAGCATAAAAGCGTCATTTACATGCCGTTGTCGTTGTCGCTGCACTTGCATCACTCGTCCTGGCAGCCCGGAGTCCTGATGTCCCGATGTCCTGTCGTCCTGATGTCCTGGTCCATTTGCGCATGCGTCGCAAACTTTTCCGTTTGCCATTTGCCGCCTCAATAGTTCCCAGTGTTTTCCTCGTACCCCGCCCCACGGCTTTATTGAGGTTTTGTTTAAGCTTTTAGCGTAGTTTCCATTTTTTTTGGGTGGGAATGAGAATGGGTATTCTGGCTACTGGGTATACTGGGTACCCATTCCATTCCATTTGGCCAAAAAAACTTTTTTTGGGTTCTGTGTTTGGCCGGCAGCATTTTTGCAATTAGGCAACTGTTCTATACGAGAGTACATTTCTTTTTTACTTTTCTTTTAGTTTGCCAAATGCAATGGAACTTTTCATTTTCGGCCACAGTTGCAGAGTTTTCATTGCTAACAGCATTCGGCACACACAAATTCACATTCGCACAGAGGGACAGAAATTGGTGCGTAATTGAGACCGAATGTAAAGGCCATAACAGCCTTTTGAGGTGCTTTTTTATTTTCCGAAATTTCGAAGAGGAATATTTATTAAATTATGAGTGGAAACTCGCATGGCAAAAATTATTTAATTGGATATGCTATTTTTTCAAGAGAATACCAGACGAATATTTTATTTAATAACGCTCAAAATGGGAAAAATTTAATGGACTGCAATTTTAAGGTTTTTTTTTCCCTGGACATTTTATGGTAATTGGGCTAAAGGTTTCGCAAAATACTTTATGTAGACGATCCCCGAGAAGTATGCTATTCCGATATTGGAGTTCACATACCTGTAAATTGAATTCACTAACAACCGTCTTAATTTATTTCTAAAAATGTATACGATATTTATAACTTTAAAAAAAACTTCCTTAGGGTTATACAAAATTGTTCAAGGAAAATCCTATACTCTTTTAAATATTATAAAAATGTTAAATACATTAAAAGGCTTTTGGAAAATGAGAAATCTTTTAGTAAATAGAGAACCTGTGAAGATCACTTTTGCTTGCCATCATTATTTTTTATAAAATTAGTTATAAAATAAAAACCCAAAATAAATCAATTAAGCTTAGATTGAGGAGAACAGGATCTTTTTTTCTCCGCAACGATATTTTTGAAGAACACCGTTTGTAAATAAATAGTTTTAAATAATATTAAACTGTTCTGTAAATGAAATTGTTGAAAAATTTGTTGTTAAACATTTTATAAAATAAATGATGAAGAGTTAAATTAAATTGTTGACACATTTTCTACTTGAAGTTTAAAGTAAGATCGTCTGAACTTTTAAGTTAGTTTTTGGTCATTTATAGGTCGAAAATGTCTTTTACTGCGCTGCAAATATCTGTCTCAAATAATAACTAAGAGTTTTCTATCCTGTAAGCCTCACAGTAAGTCAATTTAAGCGTTAATTTAAGATTCCAAGTGCTTCAAAATTTGAAACGCCTCAATCTCGGTTATGAACTCATCCGTGACCCCTCGCCCACCTGCAGTTAGACATCAAGAATCTCGTATCGGCCCTTGTAATCTATTTGCTTGTTGAGCTTGTGTTTGGCACTTCATTCCATTTAGCGCTAAGCAAGCGGAAGCCTCATCAATATGACGGTCGTGTCGCATTATCAAACGTATTTATTTGGCAAACAGCAGGATGTGAGCAGAAACAAGACGATGGGAAAGTCGGGGCATAAAGATAAACTAAGATGCTCTTATCGCCTGAGATGAAAGCAAGAAAAATGGCAAGGGAATTGCCATGGACACGCACGCACACTACAAACTTACAGGATATTCGGAAAAAGACGGAGATGTTGGGAAGTTCGACATTGCGGATACGAAAATATTGCGCACGTTGACAGCTTAACGTACATAATTAATGTGACAATCTAACGGAATGCTCGTGTCCGTGTGTGCGGACATTAATATATGGGCATTGGGCCAGATAAACATGTTGCCAAAATGATCAGCCCGGCGCACAATGGCACACATTTGGCCCGCAAATGACGGGGCCGACATTAATTACGGGCCCGAAAACAAAGCCCTGACTGCCTGCATGGCCAACTCGACTGCTCAACTAAAACCGCCAACTCATTAAAGGAGCTCTCAACTCGGCCGCAGCCAACTGGGCGTATGCGTGACGCGTGCTAAATAAATTGAGAGACAAACAACAAACATTAAAAGTTTTTATTGTCCAAATGCGTTCTCACCAAAAATATAAATGTGCACATCCGCCTCGGCAACAAAAAGCATTAAATTACTTTATAATCCGTTTATAGCTTGGCCCGGAAGTGGTCCAGACTGAGAGCAACCAAACAAACGAACAAACAAACAAGCAAACACTGGCAAACACTCACGACCCGCCCCCTGGGAGGGCAGCTCAACAGCATAATCAAATCAAAGATTACGTTGAAACATTGAAATTACGTCTAGAGCAGAAAGCACTCATAGTCATAGACCCATGGACCCATGGACACCACCACATACAGGCCACACACGGACACATAGACACCGCCGGCTCTTCCTCTTCCCCGTCCGTGTTGGCCGAAATTAAATTGTTTTTTCGCCCGCCCTCTCAACTTTTTGATACTTACGGTATGGGGTTTGGGCTAAGGATATGCTGGGGTAATATTAGTACGTTATTTGGAAATTATATCCATACAAAAACTGTAAAATATGTTAAAAAATTTAATTTTTTAAAACTAAAACAGTTTTTTTCCTTGAAAATAAAGCTTTACTCATTTTTTTAAATCAATTAAAATGTCATAATACACAAGAGAGAGAGAGATTTTGACCGAAACTCAGTAATACAATTTAAAATCTAGGCTGCTATAATTTTCTTTAATCTATTATTTTGTGCCACACGTTATAATAGCTTTCACAAAAAGCTTTAAATTAGATTTGGTTGATCATAAACTATGCATAAACGTAATTGAAAGTTAATTACGTTTCACAACATTCAATGAATAAACCAACTTATCACATACATATCATTAATTAAGGCTTAAAAGGCTTAATTGTATGTATTTGCATAAATTTATAATCTCTAGTGTAGAACATAATTAACACAACTAATTGCTTTCCATAAGACCCCTTTGGTATTAAAAACTCATCATGAAGTATAGTTTTTTGAAGGCTTTGAGAGGTTACAATTATCCAAATTAATTGCTTCCCCAGGCTTAATAAAAACCCTTTTTGGTACCCATTACCACTGGCATGTTGCCCCGCCGAGAACCGAAAAATTCGCTGCCTAACATGAGGCGTCGCTGGTGCCGCACAAACAATTACAAACATAAAGCGAGAGGCTGTACAACTTTGACCCTGGGAAACGTAAACAGCAAGAACTACGGAACTATGGGGCGCAAAAAAGGCGTAATAACTTAACTTCATTCATGCACACAAGGTGATTCGTGTGCCAAGGATTCGTGTGCCTGCGCACTCTCTCTTTCGCTCGGCTGTAGCTCTCTCTTTCGTCCTTTGCTCCTGTCTCTTTCTCTTTCGCAAAGCTGGCAACCCTGCTGCAGAGCGCAAGTGTTTGAGGCACAAGACCATGGCTTTTATCAGTTGGCTCGCTGACTTTGTCCTGTGAACTTCGTCGCGCTGGAAAGTCCTGCAGAATTTCCACATTTTCCCATTTTTGGTGTGAGTGCTACGTGTTTTGTGCGCGTGTGTGTGTTTCGTGTCTGTGTAAGGGCGCCAAGTTCTTTGGCTTTAACTTTAACCACTCAGTAAACAACAACAAAGCAGAGACATTGACAAAAAAAAAAGAAGAGGGAAGGGACACAGGCCACAGGACAACACAGCCTGCGGTCAGGGAAACCGCAATCAAAAATTGTAAACAATCTCTGGAAATTGAGAAAAATCAACAAAGGAAGACGACGCCGCCAAGTAGGCAACAATTCCGCTGCTAGCCAACATGGAAATGGACGTTAATCGCCCGACTGGCCGCCATGGCAACCTAATGACCATATCCGCCCGCTGCTCGAACAACAATGCAGATGGGCCGTTGGCCGGAAGTGAGGCGACTTCCGGTTTGGGGCCGCCGCCTCCCAGCGGCTGTTGCGGCATCTTGAGCCGCCTCCTTTGTGTGAGCCGCCATAAGGCCACCCAATCGGTGGCGGGCAGCGATCCCATCTCCCAGCTGCAACTGCAGCGGAAGGGAGTCGCATCGAGTGCAACAACAACAGCTGCGATTTCCGGACAGCGACGCCGCAGGACGCCGCAGGAAATCTACTTCGAGAGTCGCGGCAAGTCCTGCAAGAAGCTATTGAAATTCAATGGTAATTCGAACAAGGTGAGTCGCTGCTGAAGGGGGAATTTCAATGGGTTTACCCGCACAAAAGAAATGGTGATTCTGTGGGATGCGCAGAATATCCCAGCAGTCGAATCTCTTGCATTCAGTGGCTTCAATTGACTTGATGTGGAATAATCAAGGCTTACTCTAGGATGGATTTCGGGCCGCACTTGGCTTAAAAGTATTTGATTTGAAAAGGGAGAAAGCTGAACCCAGACAACCTACATTTTATTCTTTAACAACTTTGAAACTTCAGCTTACAAAGTTTAGGACATGATATCATTTCATTAAGTGGATGAAGGTACAATGTATTGGTATATACTTACAACCTTCATTTCAGATCCTTATCCTTCTTGCCAGCTAGAATCACTGGATAATTTATTTCTAGTTTGACCCAGTGCAACTGCAGTATCTTGAGAATCTGGCACAGAATAGCCCCTTCTTTGGTGGTATAGCAAAACACCTTAAGAGAATCCCAATGCTTATCGCATAATGGAACCATTCCCCTTTGCTGGCACATTGCAAACAATCCTAAAAGTGCATAAATTTTACAGTCTCCTGGTTACATTGTCATCCATTGCGAGGCAAAGACCCCAAAGCCGGAGCGCTGGCGCCAAAGTGCCATGAGCCATGAGCCATGAGCTGTGAGCTGTGAGCCACGAGGAGCCACTCAACCGTAAGGTAGCCAATACCCTGGGGTCTTTTATCCCTCGTCCTTCCAGGGGGAACCCCACAATTATCCACGTGTATGTGTGTGTGTGTGGGCCTTTGTTATAAATTTTGGAAAATTTGTAGCCAAAGCTGCGGAGTGAAGTTCGCTCGATTGCTACCGGTTTGTTTGGTTTGGCCTACACAGAGAAAATTATGACGTTCTGAAATTGAGAATTTGTATTCTCATTTTGAGGATGTACTCAATTAAAGTACAAAATTTGTGGAAAAAGCTCATGTTGAGAAAAGTTGCACTCATTTTCAGAAAAATAACTTGAATTGATCACAAAATTCTAAGTTTGAGCAAATGTGTTCTTCAATTTCAAACTTGAGAATTAATATTCTCATTATGAGTAATCGATAGACTCAAAAATGAGTTGATAATTCTCATAATTGGTTCTAGAGAGTTCCGTTCTGCGAACGAGACGAGAGATGAGCGGCCTTTAGTTCGTTGCGTATATGGTTGTCTCTTTCTCACTAATGGGTGTGTAAAGTGGTACGCGCCGCATTTGTGTGACTGTCATTTGCCGTGTGATTTAGCAAAGTGAAGACGTGCGCGTAACACAAAGTTAAAAAACTTTTGTAGTGAACTGGACATTCGTGCCACCCTTCAGTACCTCGAGGGTAAGTTCTTTAATTTTAACTGTATTTATAATGTATAAATAATGATACAATAAACAAACACTGCAAAAATATTGCAAAAGCGTGTACATCAATATTTATGTACATATGTGTGATTGTAAGTGGCGTGAAGCACGTGTCTAGTTTTGTTAGTTTTTTATGTATAATGTACATACATACATACATGCATTTTAAATGTACATTTAATAACATTCTAATTTTATTGTTTCATATTTATATATGCATATATATTTACAATATTTGCTAACAATAACGTTTTCTTTTCAGCCTTATTGCTTTTCGCTAGACCAGACAGCTAAGGGAATAATATCATAACCCATAACATGGAACATAAACTTAAATAAAAAATAATATGTTTGTATATATATAACTGTATTACAAAATATAATGAAAAAAATATTTTACCTTTTTTCTGGGAATGGGTGGAGCGGGTTTAAGTGCAAAAGTTCTTCATTTAAGAATTTATAAGTTCACTATCAAGAACTTGTTTCTCATTTTGAGCGCTAGAAATTTCTCAGTTTGAGAAAAGGGGATACTCGATTCTAAAATTCAAGCTAAATTATTTCTTAAAATGAGTGCAGTTTGTACTCATATTGAGGAAAAATGTTCAAAAAAGAGCACAAACGTACTCAATTTAAGTACAAATTTTTTGAGAAATTTGTACTGAAAGTGAGTATTTTGCACTCAATGTGAGAATTTTTGTTCATGCTGAATTTTTGAGTACAAAAATACTCAATTTGAGTACAAATTACTTGAATAATTCTCTCTGTGTAGGTAAAATTGGAATAGGGCTGGGAAAACAGGGCCAACACACACACTATACACACACACATATATAGTGCTTATGCCACTTTGCATATAAATCATTTGGCATTGTGGCCAGAGCGCAATGCGCTTATGAAATATTTCGTTTGTTTAATGCGCCAAAGGACAGCATGCCATTCCGTTCCACAGAATATGGCTGCGGACCCGCTTTCGTCCGATCTCCCCAAATTCCCACTAATTAAAAACGTGCAAAAGAAAAGCCAATCAAACAGGTCGATGCACAACAATGGCTGCGTGTTCCTTCTATTCCGAAAAACCCAGAAAGAGAGATGTTCAATTATGCCACAGCACTGGAAAAATAACTACAAAACCAAACTGTTAAAATAATAACATGGGTTTTAGAAAATATCTAACCATCATTTATTCTTGTTAAATAATATTTTCTTAAATAAAATATAAAATGCTTATGTTGTAAAATAAATGTAAATGTAATTTTATTTCGATTAGCAATACCCACCATTAACTTAAAAGTTATAAGCAAATAAAGTGTGCAATCTCAGAAACAGCCGATTTTCTGCGAGGATATCTCCATCTCCCTCGCACTCCCCCTAGCTGAATAATGGTTACCTAATATTCGAGGACGTCGACTATAGCGTTCATTCTTGTTTTCATATAGTACAGTATATGTTGCGATTTATAGATCCTATTTTTCTAAATGGATACTAAATGTATTCTATAAAAAAACTTATAATATTCCATTTAACTTGAAAGAAGTACTGGAGCATAATGAAAGTAATTGCGTCCTTGGAATGTACGTTTGCTTTAACTTGAAGTTTTCAGTAAGAGATTATATTTGTATAGTCCCGAATTTCACTGCCCGATTTTGCTTTCTCTGCATGAGTGTGTGTCTGAATCAAATGCACATTTGGCACACACACTCACCCTGCACTCGCAATCTGCAATCTGCTGGGCATCACGCACTGAAGCGCAAGCAACAGGATGAATTTGTTAAACAACACGAACACGAAGGATCTGCAGGACCCCCGAAGATTGGGCAGGGGTACGGATGAGAGCGAGAAGTGAAAAATGAAAAACCCATTCGCCCTATCAAGTGACATCATCAATTTCAGTCTATTTTGCACACAGTCGACTTGTGGCCCCGGTCGTCCTGGTCGCTCTGGTCGTTCTGGTCGTCCTGGCAGTGCAACAATGCCAAAGGACATTAACACCAATCCGTTGACAACGAGGAACCAGGTCCAGAGGAACCGAGCGACGGAGTCGCAGACGTTCTGGGGGCCCGCTCCCGTAAAATTCAATTCGAAAAGCTTTACTCGGTCATTGAATCAACCGCTTTGAGCAGCAGGACTCCGCTCCTTTTGATGAACAATCTGATTACCCCCTAGTTGCGCCCTCAAAGGGTAGTTTACACTTTGTCCCCCCATCGATTTTATAATGAAGCAATGGCAATAGCAATAGCAATAGCTTAGGTAAAACAAAAACTGTTTGTATACAGAATAAATGGTATCCAGTTGCAACCACCCAAAAAACGGAAACCAACCCCCAGATGATTGTATATATTTTAAACGGATACGGATAATGTTGCAAGTGAAATCTGTCGAGTGAAGTTTACCCTCTTAACCGAATGCGATAATGCTGTGAGATATATTTACATTAACGGTTGAGTTCGTTTTTGGGGGGAAGGTGTCTCGAAAGTCAGGGAACATCGAAGCATATGCGAATTAATGAAAAATCGATTAAGTCAAAGTTTGATTGAATGATACACCCCATTTGGCTTTTTATCAGAGCAGACACTGTGGCTAATGCAATATCCTTCATGTTTTATAATCTGCACATTTCGTTATAATCACCCTTTCTTTACGCCGTTTAATTAGCTTCACTTGCACAAAGGCCAATGCAATCAGGGTCTGAAGGAACTCAAAGAGCAGAAAGGGTATTATGAAAAAACGAACGACCTCTTGAAGGAAGGCGGAAGTGACTAGCCACTGTCCCCACCCATTTACCCACCCCCTGTCCGTCCCACTGCCCAACCCCCCGAATGTCCTTGTAAGCTGCTGCTGCTGGCTGTCTGTGAGTCCTGAATGTGTGTGGATGCATATACATATACGTATGCATAAAAAAGGAAGAAAATGCCATCAACATTGCAACGTTGTAATTGCCAACAGGCAATGAAGAGCCACAGCCAAAAGCAGGAGGCGGAAGGGGCGGGGTCGGGCGGGGAAAGCGCAGCAAACTGCCAACTGCCACATGTCCTGCCAGCTCAGCTCCAACTGAAAAAAGGACCCTCCGCCTGGTCACTCACTGCTAACGAGGGTCACTTGTGAAATGTTCAATTAATAGGAGATTTCTAACAAATATTGGACTTATCTCCATTTGACAACCTTTAATCCTCAAACGTTCTTTTTTTCATAAACTAAAGGTATCATTAGGACCTGAAAACATTTAAAATGCTGATATATATAAGAACATAACCAAATAGCAACAAAATATTATTTTAAAAACTTATTAAGAATAGATTTTTTCAATGTCAAGTAACATTTAAAGTATCATTGGTATCTTTAAGCATTGAAAACTCAGAAAACATCTAATTGTTACTTAAACTAATAATTTATTAAAGTCCTAAAAATTTGATAACTATGAATACTTATTTAGAATTCATTTTTTAATGTTAAGAACCATTAAAAGTACCTTAGGGATCTGTAAACATTAAAAATGCTAATATATACAACAAATTAACCAAGTATCACCTAAATATTTTATTGAAATTCTAAAAATCTGATGAACATACTTATTTAGAATTAATTTTTTTAAATGCCAACAAAAACTACATAAATTAGGATTCAATATTGAAAAAAACGGATAAGATA